CATCCTGATTGTCCCTCTCCTGGATGCTCTATAACTTACTAATATCTGTTCCAAAATGTCCACAGAACCAAAGGCAACACTCCAGTTGCACCTCTCATTTTTCACATCATGTTCATCTAATACAGCCTTAGATTATATTTGCTTCCTTACCTGCCATATTGTACTATTAACCAATATTGAGTTCTTAGTCCCATAAAATCCAGGTTCCTCAGTAAAGAAGTTTGTCTATAGAATGTAGTCTGTGCCTTGGCCAGCTTCTAAGGCTTTTATCTACTCAGATTTTATTATTTTTTGGGGGGGGGAGTGGGAGGAGGTAATGGTAGGGTATCTAATCTAGACCCAAGATTTCATTAGTGTGGGAATTCCATCTGCAATTCTATGTCTCTGTAACTTATAGCTGCAGTGATTCAGTGATTTCCCCACGGTCACTTGTGTGTCTGAGATTGCATTTGAATCCTGACTCTGAGAATGACTGTCTATTCCCAACTGCCTGCCACATCTTCAGTTTGCTGCCCTGATTTGATGGCTTTTCTCTCAGCTGGCCATGACTCTGATTTGCTTTGGTAGGCAATTTTACCATCCCTCTCTTACCTCTCACTCCCCCTCCGCCCTTAGGGGAGGCTGGAACATCTGAAATGGTTATCAACAACAGTTTGAAAGAAAATTCATGGCAAGCCACTTCTCAAAGTGTTCTGTGAAGGGAAGAAGCATTAACACACCAGATTCTATTCCATTTTAATAGGACCTTAACGCAAGGGAGTAGACGGTGTCAACCAGAAGCTTTGTGAAGTTCAGTCTTTTCACCCTGGAAGATGAACAATTTTTCTACAAAGGATACCTCTAACTCTTTTCATACTACCTCTGATCAATACTCCCCTCCCCAATGGAGTTTCTCCAGCCTAATCTCTGCTGCTTTCTGTTACTGACAACTCCCTTTCCACTTCCCCTTTTCTCCTTTCCACCTGCTGAAAAACTTGTAAGCCAGATCTTGGTACTCTAGCAGCGGGTTTGAGTCATTTTAATGTTGCCCAGACAGATTAACATGGCTGACTCAAAACATTCCATAATCTAGAAATCACAAAATCACAGGGCCTCAGAGGTCATCTGGTCCAAACCTTTCCTTTGACAAGTGAGGAAACTGAAGCATCTTGCCTAAGGAGACACAAATAATAAATGGTAGTGCTGGGGTTGGAACTCACATCCTCTGACTCCAAATCCCAGACTCTATGTTGTTTCCTGATAGTTTATATTTGGATTGAAAATACCACAAGGTATCCTTCCCCAAAAGAATCAGCTTCCTTGTCATGGATTATTGAGGCAAATATTTGTCTGAAATATTTGAGTTCTATGTAAGAGCTAGGGAGAAGTAGTTTTGAAAAAGAGGTATACAGGGATGGAATACAATGCATGCTAGACGTAACCAGCACACAGTGGAAAGTCAGGCATATCTATTTCACCTCTTCTGTTAGATTATTTTTGGTCCCTTCAGGTAGGGGCTATATCAACACCCACTTTACATATAGTTATTACTTTCTTCACCTAGCTAGTATTCAACGTTAATTGAGATAATATCCAGTCTAAGGGTTATGAGATAAGTCTTGCATGTTTGGACACTATGTTGTATGTATGATTGAGTTTATCAATATTACAAGGATCCGTGATTTCCTCAGTGTGGCCATACTCTCCCCCTACCCCTGCACAGATGAATAATCCTTCAGTTGTTTTGAAGATGGTCTTTGAGAGCTACTGTGGCTAAAAAACATCATCGTTCTCTGGCCAACCTGGTGATGAACCCTGTCCAAACTTAGCTGCGCTGCTCCTCTGCTGGTTAATGTTCTTCAGTTGTTTCAGTCTTGTCCAACTCTTCGTGACCCCATTTGGGGTTTTCTTGGCAGAGATACTGGAGTGGTTTGCCATTTCCTTCTCCAGCTCATTTTATAGATAAAGAAACTGAGGCAAACAAAGTTAAATGACTTGCCCAGGGTCACACAGCTAGTAAGTGTCTGAGGCCAGATTGGAACTCAGGAAGATGAGTATTCTTTTTTTTGTGTGTTTGTTTGTTTTTTGTTTTAGGCAATTGGGGTTAAGTGACTTGCCCAGGGTCACACAGCTAGTAAGTGTCAAGTGTTTGGTCTGAGGCCAGATTTGAACTCAGGACCTCCTGACTTCAGGGCCAATGCTCTATATGCTGTGCCACCTAGCTTCTCCTCTGGTACTCAAGCCTTTTCTCCTTGATGGAGTCTGCACTCTGATGCACTCTTTAACAACCTGGGGTCTTCTCCATGCTATCATGAGAGTCAGGCTTTAGTGATGCATAGGTCCATATTCCAGTGGAGCTGTAATCTCCTTGATGTGGGTATTCCTTCTGATGATGCAGATTGCAACCCATCCATACCAGTGCTTCCTCTGTGGTTTCTGTCTACATCTTCCCACAGGTTTACTCTGGTAAGGAGCTCCATCCTAAGGCTGGGGCCTTCCTCATAGCCTATTGATATTGTGAGAATGCTAGTGGAGCTCATGGGCTGTCCATCAGATATCTCTTGATCTTGCCATGAGACTAACCCATCTTTCCCCATTGCACAATGATTGAAAGTGGGGACAAGTTTGCACATCTATAAACTTAAATGAAAAAAAAAATCTTTACTCTTTATAGCATTCAGTCTTTGAATAAAACTATCACTTTCCTAACTGCATAATGCTTATAGATTCTTAAGAAGCAAGGATCTTTGCTAAGAGTTTTCCATACTAGTAAAAATTTGCCCTATATCAGCCATTAGCACCCAACATTCTCTGTGTTCTGCAGAACACTATTCATATGGCAGCTTAAGCACAGACAGAGCTGACCTGTACGTTCTTCAGACCCAAAGGATGTACCGTGGATTTCTAACTGATTTATTTTCATGCCTTTTTAATTGGTCCTCTGACAGTTTCAGTGTCTTACAAAGTTTATATATTTTGAGTTAAACCATTGCCAAGTACAGGGTTCTGCAGAGTTTAATTTCTGATAACCAGCCGACCTCAGGGATTTAAAAATATTTCCTATACTCCTCAGCCTGACCTTCCCAGGGGCAGTGGAGGATGTTCCAGTGGTCTCTTGGAGGGCAAAGTTGCAAAGCTTTGAGGGGCCATTGGGTGGTCTTGGATAGTGAAGAGTGTGTATGTCCTCTGAGCCAATTGGGCCAGCATCAGGGATGATTTATGCATCAGCCATCCATCAGCCAATCTGTACAGACTGTTTCATGGCCCGGGGAGGATTTGGTGGTGCTTGTAAAGCTTTGGGGATTGTTATGTGAAGTTGTGGCTTTCTTTGCCCTGCCAACACCCAACCCTCTTTTCAGAATCAATTCTGGTTCATCAGTGAAGTATTTTACCTAAAACAAACAGGATTTCAAGTAAATTAGTCTATTTTTTTCAATGCTTGGCACTGATATCTTTTCTTAAAAGTAGCTATTTAACAGACCGCTTCAATTGAAGTACATCTAATTTCCATGTAATTCAGCCTTGCAGAACCCAACTAATAGATTCAGTACTCCAGAACTTTTTTTTTCAGCTGATTTCAACTTTTAGGAGAAAGTAGTCAAATCACTAGAAAACAGTTTGTATCAGGGATTTATACCAAAAAAAATTATAATAACTTCTTGGGTAAATCCCTGGGAATACACATTCATTTCTGTCTCTTACTCCTCTAACTACAGGTTTAGACAATGAGACTTGATATTCTGAAGTAAGACCCTGAGGCATTACAAGTTCTCAAATAACCTTCAGGATACTGTGCTGGAAAGAGGAGTAATTTATCTTAGAAAGCATTTTACAACAAGAATTGAAAGTTTTCTGCTTTAACTATTCGCTTACTGGAACACTTGTTTCTCCTCAGCATTCCAGAAAGCTGAATTTTTATTAGGTAATAAAATCCTAGTCTCTGGACACTGATATACTGTCTCTTAACATTTTTATACTGCATCTAACAGAGAGCTTTTTCAGGAACTTTTTTTTTTTGATAGTGATGGTGATGGAAAGGGTTGATTACCTTAGAGTAAGGAGAGCCATTTGGCAAATTACAACCTAGGAGAAAATTTTGTATGGCATCTAGAATCTCCTCATCAGACATGGAGTCCCATGAAAAAGAACTGTCCACATTTACCCTGGGCAGATCTCTAGGTCAAGTTCTTCTTTAGGTATCCTAAAATCATAATGTTCCTGCCGCCATCTTGGCCCACAGCTGTGCTTGCTATGTTTCTTATATCATGAGTCACCCAAGGGACACTGTGGTGGGGGAAAGGTTTTCCTGGTGGTAAAGGAAGTTAGGATCCATATCATGAAGGGAACAAGTATAAACCAAATGTTTAATGTGGTGCCAAAAGTTAGCACCACAGAACCTATTGTTCAAAGTGCAGACATCCAGTGACCCTGATATAAGAGACAAAGTTTTTTGCAAGGAGTTTTCATATGTTTGGGGGGAGGAGAAAATGAGGGCAGTACCAGATGAGAAGGAAGGACACAGGAAACATTGCGGTGCTGATCGTCATTTGCCTGGTTGCCAACCTATCTCACTAAACTTTTAATCTTCTGATGATGGCTGTGGCTGTTCTGACTTTTCTGCCTTGCTTCACCTGCTGGCCCACCAATACTACCAATACTATCAAGCTTAAGAACTCAAATGATTGCAACAAGGTTCACCGTGCTCTATCCTGGTTTCGCTGTGGTAAGCAATGGACTTGTACCTTTGCCTCTTCCTAGGCTGAAGAAGACAACAGCTCTTCTAGCCTCTAAATAGCTGGATATTAAAAACAAATGGCCAGTCTAGTAATCATGAGCTGTGCAGTCTTTCCAAAAAGTTTTAGTGAAATGCTATCTGAGCAGGAGTAAATAACAGAAGGGAAAGGGAAATTCATTTGGAATAAAGCAGAATTTAACTTCTGGAAGTTCAGAAAGCAAAGAGAGAACACATTTCTTTTTATGTTATTTTTTTTTAACCCAACATGTGTGTTTGTCCTTTGTAGGTTTTATAACCAGCCACCATTAGTGCGGTCTACCCAAACTAAGCCAGATCTTGCCTACTGGAGAAGAAAAGGACAGGACTTCAGTGTATTGCTGGATTATACAGACAGAGGAAGCCTTGAAACCCCCAGAATGGCAGAGCCCCATGGTATGACCCGAAATGTGAGAGAGGGTCAGTTGGAAGTAGGATCGAGGTTGGAAAACACAATGAGGAGAGCAGTTTTAGAAGACAGCTGGAAAGTATCCGGAGATCCCAAGTGGCAGAATACAAATCTTGAGAGCTGGAACCAGCCTAGGAGACTGGGGAGGCAGATGTCTGATGGAGATGGAGAGAAGCTGTTGCAAGATCTGTACTCATTTACTAAAGGAGACAATACATTTAATTCCCAAAACAAGGGAAAGTCCCAGTCATTGCCTAGAGTTCTTTCCCCCGACACCCTAAGATGTGTGGAAATGCCCACTCTGGTAAATGATTACCATTTCCCAGGGGATGCTAAAATGCTATTTTATCCTACAAATAGTACATCAAACTTGGAGTACCTAAGAAACCCTGAAAAGGGTGATCCCTATATTCCTTTACAAAAGCCCAAGTATGGGAGACCCCTAAAACCGCCATCTTATGAACTCCACCGACAAACTCGAAGTGGAGTAGAAACCAGCAGGTATCAGGATAACTACCAGAAAGACTGTATTTCTTTTCTGCCCAAAACTAATGAGCCCAGGCAGGACCCTTCTAACCCAGACCCAAATTTGGAGCCTCCCATGTATGTCCCACCACCATCTTACAGATCACCACCCCACCAGAACACAAATCCACATTCCCTAAATGAAGTGCCTCATTTCCAGCACAGTGGTCACATGCAGCAGCAGCAGCTGATGGAGAAGCCCATTGCTGGCCACTACTCTTCATCCAACTCCTACAGGTCTGGGAATCAACATGGTGCAAGTGTATGTCTCCCCCATGGGTTTCCCGGACACCACCAGTACATGGATGCTTGTGACAGCTCAGTTCAATATATTCCCTTCAGCGACCCACGAATCCGACACATCAAAATGACCCATCATCAGGACCTCAGCCAGGAAACCAAATTCCTTGAAAAGCTATATACCGCAGGCCCCTCTGGTTTCCAAGGACCAGCTCGGGTTCAAGCACAAGATGATGGTGCCTTTTTTCATCCTGAAAACCAAGTCCCAGCAACCAAAAGTGAGAGTGATCCTGCCACTTATGAACCTCGCCTTGGGTGGCTCCCGGCAGCACCCCTCCTAGACAGAGAAATCTGTGCCTTGCCTGACCAAAGAGACAATTGTGTTTTAAGTGAACAGCAGCCCGATAAGGAAAACAGCCGTCAGCAGTGTGCTAAAGGGAGGGTTTCTTCCCAAATCCCACAGTGGGAGAGTACCTGTGAAACCATAACTAAGCTCAAAACATTTCAAACTGGGATTCAGACCAAGAAAAGTTCAAAGAAAAAAGTGAATGAGACTGTATTTTGCTTGGTTTCTGTCCCAGTTAAATCCGAGCCACATCTGCCAGATACAGATAGGAATAACAATGATTTAAAACAGAGTGCTGATAAAAAGAATAGCAATGATAAGAGAGGGGCTTTGCGAGAACAAAGTCTCTTGAGCATGTCTTCCACAGACCTGGAGCTACAGGCACTTACAGGAAGTATGGCCAGTAAACCTGAGCTACAAAAACAAGAACCCGGAGGGCCAAAACAGTACAAACAAACAAATGACCTCAGATTTAGTCACCCCACAAAACACAGGGAACTCAAATATTCTGGCTCTTGGCCAGGTGACCAGTACAGAGACCAGCAAACACAGACCACTGTCACCCAAGAATCCCAAACCTTCCAATTTCTTCCTGCTAAAAAGATAGAGGGCCAACACAGTGCACTACCCGTTCCAAAAGTATCAGACCCCTCTGCCTCTGAAACTCTGAAGCCATCAGCATCACCTCCTAGTGACTGGAAGTTGAGGCCAGATACTGGGAATCTGAAAGGTCAGATGTACTTCAGTCCATCCAGCAATAGTGCTTTCTCAAAGGCTACTTCTTCCACTATTCAGGGGCCTACATCAAAAGCAGGCCAAAGCCAGCCTGATGACCCCTCTGTTGATGTAAACGAGAGGGACACTAAGCCAGTATTCAAAGGTCAAGTAGTGAAGGGTGAGGCAAGTGCCCCTTGCAACAGTAAAGCACTCTTTGGTCAGTTTCTCTTAAAACCAGTTAGCCGTCGTCCCTGGGATGTAATAAGTCAGTTAGAAAGTTTTAACAAGGAGCTTCAAGAACAGGAAGAAAGCAGCAGCCATAGCAGCAGCAGCAACAGTAGCAGCAGCAGCAGCAGCAGCAGTATTGATGGAGAAATTACAGAAAGTGAGCAACAGATGCAGGGGGTTGTTGATATTGATGCTGATGCTGGTGCTGGTGCTGGGCTAAAGGACTATAAGCCTGATGAGCCCAGCCAGGAAATGAGAGTTGGGCTACAGCCAAGGACAGCAATACCAGAGGTTCCTGTATTTAAATCAGAAAGAGTTAAAAGTGTGGAGCTGACATCTGATTTCATATACAATTATCCTCAACCACGGATATCCTTCCAGAAGAGAAATAGCAAAGGTGAATCTGTCAAGCCCCCAGATGAAAGTGCCATTCCAGAAACAAGAAACCAGGAAACGGAGACCAGAGTAAACAAACTGGCCACCAGCCCAGACTCGGCGAAAAGAATGACGTCGATTAGTTTGGTGAAGACAATTCCAAGCCCCTTGAGCTACCCAGCTGACATAAGAGAGACCCAAGAAAACAGGCAATATGGCGATGTATTCAATTCTGCACCACCAAGTCAAACGATTCATCCCAGGAGTGACGGAGCTGAAGAGAGGGAGTCAGGGGTACACATTTCTTTAGTGAACAAAACCCAAGGTCTGTCTGAACTCGAAGTAAAGTTTGTGGGGCTTGATACAGGTCTAGAGCATAGTGCCAACAAGTCAGGTGACATGTTAGAAAAACCAGGTGCAATAGAAATCCCTCCTAATGAACCCCTTCAAACAAGGGCAGCCCGGATTCTGGGCATAGAAGTAGCTGTGGAGTCCCTCATCCATGGTAACAAGGAAAGGGGGCCAAACCATCTTCCCAGTCCTGCTCAAAGTGTTCCCAAGGCTGATTTGCCAGCAACAAAAACGTTATGCAATTTGGTGCAATCAAATGACCCTGACCCCATATCGTCAAAAAGTGCTTTTGATAGCCGGAGAAAGTGTGGCTGGACCGAAAGCCCTCTCTTTGTAGGGGAGAGAGACACACATTTGAAGACACATGTAATTCCCCAAGATTCTGAACTGAACCCAGATGTGGATGGAGATGACACCACGAATGCTTTGGTCCCTGAATCTGAACCCAAATCACCTTCCAAGCTCTGTGGTCAAAAGGACCTCAGGACAAACCAATCCTACAAGTCAACTTTGTTTCATTATCTGGAAAGAAACTCCACTGGGGTGGGCTCAGAAAGGAAATTCAGAAGCACCTCCAAGGTGATTGAAACCATACAAGAGAAATTAGTCAGCCCTCCAACCAAAACAGCTGTGGATCGGTTAATGAGAATGAAGGAAGTTGATTCCATCTCTCGAATTAGACGTCTCAGTTCCAGGAGCACTGATTCTGGGGAGGAAACAGAGGAAGAGAAAATTCAGAGAAGACTGGAAGGACAGTCAAGGGTTGGCTTTGGCTCTTTGAATGGCAGTGACCTGGGACACAAAGTGGAGGATGCTGGAGCTGTGTCCAAGCACATCACATCCCAGGGAGAAAATGGGCATCGGACAATACGTAGTGTAAAGAAGAATGCAGAGCAAGATCTTTTTTGCCTAGGTAAGTAGCATTAACACTTGAGTGATGCTTTGTTGGGGATGAGTGCAATCTGTCTTTGTTAACTAAGAATCCTTTTTGGGGAAGGTGGCGGTTCAAACCTGTGATTTCCTTGGTGTGGGGGAACTCTTGGTGTAGAGACTCCCTCCACCAAAGCAGATCACCAATTTGTGTGCAATTTCTGTGGCCTAGAGACTTGAATAGGGACACTACAAAGATTTAAGTAACTTTCCCATGGTCACAAAGGCAGGAGATGTCAGAGGCACCACTTCCCCCAGGTCTTTCTGATTTCAGAAGTGGTCACCTAAGCACTAGGTTGCATTACCTTTCAGAATATAAGAAATAACCATGTAAGTATGTCCTGCTTTAAGAAAAATCAGTATGTGAAACTTGGCATGTGGACCAAATAAACTGGGGAATGATTATTGATTTTAACAAAAAAAAAATTCTTTGTCTTATAAAAAGATATGCCGGAGTAGGGATTTTTAATCTCACTTGTGTCGTGGAGCCCCCGGGCAATCTGGTGGAGCCAATGGACCCATTCTCAGAACCATGTTTTTAAATGCACAAGATAAAATACATAAGACCCCAAAGGATACCAATTATATTGAATATTATATTGAAATTGAGTTATGAAAAAAAATTGTAAACAAGTTTACATATTGCAGATTCCCTAGACAAGAGTGTTCATTTAGGTAAGTATAGGATAAGATCAGAGAGAGGTAGAAGGGACCTCAGAGTTCTATAGGTGGTGTGTATCAGAGGCAGACAGGAACTCAGTCCAAAGCCACTGTTATTTGCACTGTACCACCTTGCCTCCCTTGAATCTTCTAATGCATTTAAAATTCTGTTCACAGAGATGAAGTTTACACATAGTTTTCCCAGAACCTAACTACTATGAGAAGTCACAGTTTGCTGGCTACCAGCACTACGGGACATTTTATAAGAAACTAGTAGTTACCCTCCAGGGTATCTAGGTGGCACAGTGGATAGAGTGCAGGGCCTGGAGTCAAGAAGACTTGAGTTCAAATTTGACCTCAGACACTTGCTTGCTGTGTGACCCTGGGCAAGTCACTGAACCCTGTTTGCCTCAGTTTCCTCATCTGAGCTGGAGAAGAAAATGATAAACCACTCCAATATCTTTGCCAAGAAAACACCAAATGGGTCACAAAAAGTAGGACATGACTGAAACAACTGAAAAACAACAACAAAAGTTGCCCTCCAGGATATCACCATTGGTGGTTAGAAATATACCTCCTTAGATATTCCTAACCACCCTTTAATAACCGAATAAGAGCAAAAGAAGTGCCATATTAGACTGACCTAATGGCTTACATATCCCAAAGGCCTGCTAGTACCTTCAAAATATTTTTTCCCATTTGTTTGGCTGCTTTCTTCAATATCAGATTAATGTAATAGACTTTAAGGGTTTAGCAGCTAGAATAAACAGCCTGTACTCTCATTCCTCCCCAGAATGCTCAGCAGGTGTGCCTTTTCATATGTCTTATGTCTTAATTATCAGATCTCCCCAAGCCAGCTTTGGCAAGGGGGTTGCTGAAGCCTTCAACACTGACTCATTAACTTTTCAGGAACCTGCATGATTTGTCAATTTTCCAATAGCAGTGACCATTCTTTGCCCTGACCTGGAACGGACTTCTGATATGATTCTGAGAGGCAAGGGGCTTATTGGCTGCAGGGCTTCTTAAACTTTCTGCACTCTAGACCCCTTCAGCACGACTCTGAGACCCACAGTTTAAGAAGTGCTGCAGGGGTCTGGAATGGAAAAAGTTTGAGGGCCTGCCTGTGTAGTTAGAAAGTCCTGCCCCTTACACACAGTAATCATACGACTTTAGGTAAGTCATTCAAATTCTTGGTACCCCCAGACAACTCTCTGAAACTAACTTTACAAATACATCTATCTTTACCAGTGGAGGGAGTTTGCACTCTAGGAGTCTTCCCCTCCATGATGAAATCACAGGTCAGAGCCAAAAATCTCTGGCACAAATAGATCCCTTTGGGGCTGACTGAACCATGCAGTCACTAGGCTTATAAACCATGTGCCCTAGGCAGGAACACCTTTGTACAGTCACAAGGAATAGATCCAATATTCAAACTGGGAATGAGGAGGAAAATGGTTTAAAGAATCAAAAATGTGCTAAGTTAGAAGGGACAGATTCCCTTCAGGTGGCTAGAAATCTAAGACTCTGTTAGTGTTAAGCTCTCCTGGTGTTTTGGAAAGAACTATGCTCTATTAAATTCAAAATCTTAGAATAATGTGAAGAGGGGTTTGGGGTGGGGGTGGAGTGGAAAGGGAAGAATCAACATTTATTAAATGCCTACTAAGTTTTACAGATATTATCTCCTTGGATCCTCACAACAGTCCTGGGAGGAAGATGCTACTATTATTCCCATTTTACAGATGAGGAAGCTGAGGCAGACAACTATTAAGTGACTTGCCCAGGGCCACACAGCTAGTAAGTGTCTGAGACTGGATGTGAATATAAGTCTTATTGGCACCAGGCCCAGGGTTTTATCCATTGCTGCCTCAGTGAGAAAAATAAGATTATTTTTAGAGCAGAAATTCTCATGATTTCTTACATGCTGAACCTTCGTAGATAATTCACAAATGAATGAGTGTAAGAGAGGTGAATTCTAATTATAAATTCCTCCAAGGAGCAGATATCCTAGAGTCTAACCCCACCCATGACCCCCGTTATTTTACAGATGAAGGTCTGGGTCTCTGAGACCCAGAGAGGTATGCAAGGTCCCACAGCTAGCCAGCATCAGAACAGAATTAAAGTGCGTGTCTGATTTCCCACTGAGGGTTCTTTCCATCATCCCTTTCATGGGGTAGAATTGGCAGGTGTGTTTTTATTTGTTTTCTTTCTCCTATTCATTTTCTGTGCCCACTAAGCAGAGGAATTAAACAGTTGAAAGTTAATGGGGGCTGGCACAGTCAGGAAGAGCTGGCATAGGGCTTGGTCCTTAATTCATGACTACTTTAAACAAATGAACTGTGAAGACTTTGCATTTCAGAATGCTTCACGTGAGACTGAGTGCATGTAAGTGGCACGTTGTAAAGTTGGTCTACAGCAACACTCTTGGGAGAGGGAGGGAGGGAAGGAGGGAATGAGCATTTATTAAGCACCTACTATGTGCCAGGCACTGTGCTAAATGCTCTATAAACATCTCGTTTGATCCTTATAAGAACCCTGGGAGATAGATGCTATTATTTTCCTCATTTTATAGTTGAGGAAACTGAGGTAGACAGATGTACTTAGCTTAGAGGTGGCATGATATGGAGGAAAGAGCTTTTGTTTTGGAATCTGAGGACATGGGTTCAAATCCCACCCCTGGCACTTACTCCTGGTGCAACATTTCTTGGACAAGTCATCTAACCTTCCTGAGTCTCAGTTTCTTTGTCTGTAAAATGTAAGAAGGGGCTAGACACCTTTGGTGTCTCTTCTAGCTCTGGATCTGTGTTATTATCCCTGATTTTTTTTTTAGCAACCTTTTTCTCTCAGTCTCCACATTCCCTACAAAGAAGAAAAAAAATCCATGTATATGGTGTATGCTAGGGAGGGCCAGATGAAACTAGAAGCAAACTCTGTGGGGCCAACATCGTGGTACATGACAGCCTCTCCAGGCCTCAGCTTTCTCATCTATAAAATGGGAAAGTTGGGCTGGATGGTCTGCCCAAGTCTCTTCCCAGCTCTGGCTATAATTTTGACTTGGGACTACCCTTTCTACTTCAGTCCCTGACAGTGGATCAGAAATAGTAGATACAATCAACTCTGGTTTTCCTGCTATGTAAAATAGGGGTTCCTTATAAGCTTATATATACACTGGGCTTTCTTGTCTTCACTGTGTGGTATTATCCCTTTCCCTGAACCAAAGTGCCTTCCTTGTGGATGGAAGGACTATGTGGCTGGTTCCATGCTATCTTATTATTCCTTTTGGAACTGACTCACTGGCGGATCCCATCTACATATGAATCATGTTATCATCCAATGCTGGTCTACAATTGGAAAGGTACTGATTGTGTTCAGCCCCTGTTCATTTTGGCCACCTCTGTTGCATGATTCAATTCAACAGAGCTTTACTGGTGGCTTACTATGTTTCCTACTAAGATCTCATAGATGGTTGGGGATAGTGGTGCACACCTGTACTCTCCACTACCAGGGAGGCCAATGTTGGAGAATCTAGTGAGCTTGGGAGTTCTATTAGTGCACTAGGCTCATTGGGTGTCCATGCTAAATTCTGCCTTAATACGGTGAGCACTCAGGAATGAGAGGGGCCACCACGATGCCCAAGGGGTAGAGCTGGCCAAGATTGGAAAATGGAGCAGGACAAAGTTCTGCTGGACATCAGACACTTACTAGGTAGGCCATAAGTAGCTGCCATGTTTCCAGCCTGAGTGAGATAGGGAGACCAGTCTCAAAAAAAAAAAAAAAAGATCTCATATATAATCTCATATGTCCAGTTTTTCTATTTTTCAACTCAGTAGAGGAGTATTGATGGCTTAATTAAGCCACCATTTATCTGTGGGTAACTCACCACTAGGCCATCAAAGAGCTGCTCTCAGGGGACCATCCTGAATTGAAGCATATGTTCAGCTGTTTTTCAATTGTGTCTAACTCTTTGTGACTCCATTTGGGATTTTCTTGGCAAAGATATTGGAGTGGTTTGCCATCTCCTCCTCCAGCTCATTTTACAGATGAGGAAACTGAGGCAAACAGGGTGAAGTGACTTGCCCAGGGTCACACAGCTAGTAAGTGTCTGAGGCCGGATTTGAATTCATGAAGATGAGTCTTCCTAACTCCAGGCCAAGTGAACTATGTACTATGGCATCACCTAGCTTCCTCATACTGAAGTACAGATGATGTAATCTCCTTGAGGTCAGGGCCCTATTTTATTTTGTTCTTTATTTTCCAGGTCCCTAGCAAAGAGCCTGGCACATAGGAAACACTTATAAGTACTTGCTGAATTAACTTATGGAACAAAGACAGATGAAACTTAACAGGGTCCAAAGAGAACCAGGATCTTGTTAACAGTTTTGGTTTATAATGCCCCATTCAGACATACATTCAAGCCTGTGAATCTTCTAGCCCAGTGACTGTCTACCCACCTATAAGTCAGCTAGAGATAAGTATCAGCAGTCTTTAGGAAGTCTTACAGTGGCTGACAAGCCTTGATCTAGCTTAGGCAAGTAGGTGGCACAGTGACAGGATAAGATTCTGGGCCTTGAGTTAGGAAGAACTGAGTTGAAACCACTCCGACTTGTCTTAGCTGTGTGACCCTGGGCAAGTCACTTAATCTCTGTCTCTTGGTTTCCTCAACTGTAAGGTGGGGATAATAACAGCACCTCCCCTAGGTTTATTGTGAGGATAAAATGAGGTAATATTGGTAAAGTGCTTTGCAAACCTTAAAGTGATGTACACAAGCTATTATTGGTGTTGTTTGTCTGGCCTCATCTGTCTTGTCAGAAGACTCTGGAAGGAGTCTTTGGTGACTCAACACAACCTGCGTTTTTATCCAATGACTGCTCTGGCATGTAGCTGCTCAGTGCTCCGTGTCATGATGGTGCTCAGTAACGACTTATTATCTAGCAGATGAGCTGACCAACTTGGCATTTAGGAGGGATTTCTTTTTTTAGGCCTCCAGTGAGCAGCAAGTTTGACATTTTCAAACTTTCATGAATGAAAAGCCTCCCTCTTCTCAGTGTGGGCGGCAGGGAAGCCAGGCTTTGTTAACAAAAGATTCCTCAAAGAAACTAACCCAGCAAGAGGCCTAGTACAACTCCAGACCAAAAGCTCAGCATTTTCTGGTTCACGTTGGAATCTGTCACATTAGCAGTGAATATTATTCTGAGTATTGAATTGCAGAAGAAGACATGGGGAGAGATACTTCTTTTCAACACAGAAAGCATTTTTTGAAGGCATTAAGTATTGCCCCCATTAAGTATATAAATTGCCTAGACCTTTAAGTATCTCAATCTTTACTGACTCAGGGTCTCCCAGATATTTTTTTAAAATTGTCTCTATCTTCATAGCAACACAGTGAGATGAATTGAGTAAAATGAAATGATTATTAAATATGTTTTGATGATAAAGACATAAATGTATTGTCTACATGGCCTACATGAGGTGCAGCAAGTCAGAGGGGAAGCAGAAATAATGCTTTGTTGTTATGCCATAACAAATATATTGTGTTAAAGCCACAAACACTTTACAGACATGATCTTATGTGAACCTTGAGACATTTGTAAAGCAGGCAGGGAACATGTTACAAAGGATAGAAAGAACATTGGACCTGGAGTCAGGAAGATCTGAATTTAAATCCAGCCTGAGACACTTACTAGCTGTGTGAACCCAGACAAGTCCCATAACTGCTATCTGCCTCAGTTTCCTCAACTGTAGAATGATGATAATAGCACCTACTTCACAGGGTTGTTGTAAAGATTAAATGAGATAAGAATGTTTGTAAAATGCTTTTAACCCAGTGCTTGGTACGTAGTAGGCACCTAATAAATATATGTTCCCTTCTTTCTCTTTCTTATACCCATTTGGCAGATGAGGAAAATGAGTCTCAAAAGAGTTGAGACTTACCAATTATGTGATCTTGGTTAGCAAGTAGAGCTGGAACTCAAACTCAGGTCTCCTGGTGCCTAAATCCAGTGTGTGCCTGCCATAACACCTACTGCCTCCTGAGAGCAGAGGTTGTAATATCTTGCTCTTCCTTTTTAAAACTTCCAAACTGTGCCAGCCTTCCTTGCAGACAGCTTTTCAATATTCTTACCTTTTTTTTTTTTAAAGAAAGAAACCTTTAGCTGATAATTCATAAAATGAAGTCATTTTGAATGCAGTATGTCCAAATCTAGCATATCAGGAGAGGATGATAGACTCATAGCTTTAGAGCCAGCATAGACCTCCAAAGAATGTTGCCTTGACTTGAGAATAGTAGAATGCTTTGGTAGAATAGCCTCACCTCCATCAAAGGGTAATGAATCTTGTATTCTTCATATCTGATTAATGGAAGAGAGAGGATGTACCTCATATTCCAGGATTTATGAGTGCCCCATTTTGAACTGGATACTGGGTTAATCCATCAGCTGAACCAAGCACTATGCTGAATCCCCAAGCATGCAAGTGTACCCATGACCGTGGTCCTGAAAGCAGAAGGCCCACTCTTTCCAGCTAAGGCTATCAGCTTCATTCTCTTGTCCCTTACAGGGAATGTCTGGCAAGCAGCCAAAAATTGAATGTTCTTCAAGCCAACACGTTATAGCATTTGAGTTTCAGGACAGAAATTTAGGTTCTCTTGGAGAAGTTGGTACATTGTGTTAAGCGTAAGTAACTATGAAAAAAACAAAAGGCATTCTCAGCCACAAATGGACACAACAGAAGTCAGCTTGTTTCAAAGTTAATTGTATTATATTTTGAACAACGGAAAAAAAAATCTCTCAAAATGTTATTTACTCCTTCCCCTATGTGCCTCGCCTCCCATATAATTACTGAATGTGCTTCCTTTTAAAACATGGATTGAAATTCACGTCCTATGTCCACAATAAACAGGCTTGCAGAAATAGCTGAAATTGACTTAGGCACTCTGAAGACTGGGGAAGGAGAAAGGAGAAGACAGTGTTGCTTTTTTTCTGTCTGCTATTCTTTACTTGCTAACTGGATGAAGATTAAAAGTAATTAATTGTTGCTGATTACTTCCTTTTCTTGACTTTTAACAGATACATACGATCCTAGCCGAGTTGAAAGAGTCTGATATGAATGATGTGCAAATCTTGGAACACTCCAGCCTGCTAATTAAGTATTCTCTGATTTGGGGCTGACAGCCTGCCTGCCCCAGGTGTTTGCTTAGAAATCATCACTAGTTTTTGGTATATCGATAAAGCCTTTACCACTGCCCATAGAAATGAATCATTCTTCCAGAGCTATTTTGTGGAGATAATGAAAATCTTGCCCTTTGAAGCCACACCTGTTTTCTGTAGCAGTTCTAATTAAACTGTGCCTACCTTTCTCAAGGTTTTTTCACATTGATGGAGGCAGCTAGGGTGTAAATGAGATGAAGCTAGGTATTTCGTCTAGTCCTTCAGTGTCAAAGGTCAGACACGGGAATACTCTGAAAATGATTTGAAAAAGAATGTGAATGTGTTAGCTCCCTTTCTGGATCTGTAAAGCCCAGGTTTTTGTGTTTATAGGATAGAATCTTGGAGATACACTCTTTCTGAGAGTCCTTCTGCACCTTCTGAGAGTTGTGGGGAAATGGGGAATGAACATAAGGTTTTAAAAAAAATCAATTTGGCCACCTACTATTAAAAGGAATTTGCTTTAATTACATAAGTAAACTCGCCACATTTAGAGAATAAAAGCAATCTCTTATAAGGTCCTAAGGGGTAAGGACTTGTGCCATAATGAACTAAGAATATTATTTATGGAGCAACTAAATATTTTGGTCAGTTGCAAACAAAATACCATTGTGTGTTTTGCACTCAGTATTATCTACTTTTATTTTCTGTATTGATATTTAGAAATTCTTTTATATGAAAAAAATCGCTGATTTAAAATAGCCCATTTTAACAAAGTAACTATATTTCTTTTTAGAAGAACACTATTTTTCTATGATGTAAACTATTGTTTGGTGGCAGATTTTTAAAGAAGTATTATATTTAAAAGAATCTGTATCCCTTTGTGTGAAGGGAACCCTGAGGAGGGTTCAGTTTGATGTTTTAATGTATATGTTATATCTCTTAGTCGTATACAATGCTGCCACTTGGATTTTGTTGTGAAAAGAGATGTCTATATATATAAAAATATTATGGGGTTAATTAACTCTTTTTAAAAATGAATTTTTCACAAAGATTTTTCACAAACATAGCTGATGGGGTATTTTTGAAAGTCATCCCTTTCAGGGTGCAGCTGAAATCCTCCAAGTATAACCAGTGCCAGATTAACTAGAATTACCAAAAAGTGGTTTCATATTGTGTCTGATTGTACAGCCCTGAAATACATCTTCTCCAATCTACCCAACACTTCCCTCTTCCCTAACCACCATACATGTACATGTGTACACTCTCATGTGCACAAGAGAGTGCACACACACCCACACCCACAGACACTGTTATGCATTTTACCTGGAATGGTTCTGAATTAGTCTCTGTATTAAAAATATTGCTTTGAGACATTAAATATGTTGCATTTCAAAAGAATATTTTGAGGCCTGTACATTCTGCTGTGTTTAATATTGCATTAACCTGCACAAACTTTATTTATGAATTTTTTATGTGTTTCTGTCCACTCTCTTTGTAAGATATTTTCATTTGCTAACATTCATTTGAAGCTCCTTTGCTTCCAACCACCCCTTCTTCCTTGCAGGAAAGTTGTCTCCTACATTGTCCTTTCTCAAAAAGCTCCCTGATCTATTTTTATTCATCTCAACTTCCTGAAATGATCATTTTTGGGTGGTCTGTAATTTGGCCCCAAAAACAACCCTTGTGGTGCTTAGGCAACTGCTTTTATACCCCCATAATATGATTTTTTTTTTTTTACAGAAGAGCTTTATATACTTAGTCTATCATAAACAAAATAAGATTCATGTAAATCATTCTTTAAAATCCCCTCAGATATACTAATGAACAATCTTGGCATATATTTTATTATTCATTTTAAGTTTTGGCTTTTCCAGCTGGAAAGTTACAAGAAGATATAGCATTCATATCAATAGGAACCAGGGCCAACTCACTACTTGGAATGGCCATGGAATGACTCTTTCTGGGAAAGACTTTAGTGTGGAATGGTTCACTCAAAAAACTTTGGTCATTGATTAACCACTTAGGTTAGTGTTGGGTCAACTGGCTTGAAACTGAACCACCTGACGAGCCTATTTGGAATCGGTGTCCTTTTCACATTTAGAAAGTGGGAAGAATCTTCTTTTTTTCTCCAAAAACTAACCCTGTCCCTTCTAAAACTATCAAATTATTGCCTAAAGGTATTCAAATTAGAAATGTCATCCTAGAAATGATTGGAAAGAAGAAAAACTGAGCTTTATTCTTACTCCAGATTCTTCCTAATGGCCACAGTGGGAAAAAGAAAATGGAAACACAAGAGAAAGCAGGAAAAGGGAAACAAAATGTCTCATTTCATTATGGTTGATAGATAATTTGGGAAATATAGAGGATCATGACTTTGAGACTTCCATTAGTCTCAGGTAACTGACAAATATATCATCCCCAAATATGGCTTATTTGAAGATTTGAAGCCAATAACATCAATAAACCATGACAGTTTTCTCTTCATTAAATGGCACATAATTGATTAATTGGTAGCAATTAGTTGATTCAACTACAATAAACAATTGTGCTATTACCTATTTGCCAAATTGTTTTCTTGGTAAATATGGCTGTTAACATGGTCATGTGTATCAAGAGTTTGGGGACTTAAAAGATTAAAATTTAGTTCTGACCAATGTTAAACTAGAAATTTATAGAAAAATCATATGTAAAGTAGAAGTAAGTGATAATTTAAAAAGGAAAGAAAATAAATTTAGCTAATGGCTACTTGGTTCTGATTTGCCTTGCCTTGTAGCAAACTTTTAATTGATTGAAAATAATATGTTTCAACATTCTTTCCCTGTATCCTTTGCTATATCCACAACCTGTCCTAGAGTACCAACCAAATGTGTAAAGGTTTCCCTCTGGAAAGCCTTTAGTTTCCACCACTACCACCACATGTTGTGCTCAACTTTTCCGGCCCAGTGGATTTTTTGAGACTCTTCCTTTTAGCATTATTGGGTGTATTGGCCAATTTGGTTAAGGTAGGTATCATTAGTGGGAGTTGTACTATTCCATTATGGAATAGGAGGGAAGTCTCATACTGATCAAATCCTTAACAGGGCTTTAATGTTTGGGGACCAATTTTTTTTTTTATTGGTCAATGGTCACAATTATTTAAAATCACCGTGATGATACAAACTATTCCAAATCCATGGGACACACTTTGACCTATAGAATAACCTATCCCATGATCTGGGATGCATTTCAATGACACCCACCACAAATTCAAGTGGCTCACCAATGAGGTAGGTTGAAATGACCCTCATTACTTTTGGAGAGCAAAACAGTGACTTTTCCCAGCAACTGCTTATCATAGAATTTCTACTGCTAGGACGCTAGCAGCAGAGTAGGGGATACTAATGACTGTGTCAAGAAAACCAGGTCCTGATTCATATCAGAAAAAGTAACTGGAAGGAACCCAGGCTTAATCCAGCAACTTTCAAAGAGTGTATTTGTGATTGTTGGCCATCTTTGCTAAAAGTTACTAAGTAATGCAGAATTAAGTGTCAAGGTTAACATTCTTGGAAAGTGATAAGTGCCACAAGATTATAGTTATATACATATTTGACCTTGAGGAGGAGATACTTCTGCTGTCCTAAGTTTTTGTAAGCAAAGACTTTCCTATTTGGGGCCATTGTTCTGCTTAAAACAGGGACTGCCTGATCCATCTGTGTTTGGAGACAGGATTTAAGAAGTGGGGGTGGGATGGGGCTAAGCTATTGCTGCAGTGAGGACTTTTTGTATCTTTTTTTTTTCACTCAAGTTATAGATTTTGTGCATATGTTTATGGGAGTAGAGTTGCTACTCTAAACTGGGTCTAGGAAAAACATTCCAAACGACCTTTAAGAGTCTGCACAGTGGGAGGTCTCCCCAAAGAGTGGGATGTTTCCCTCTGGCCAGCTCTGACCAGACTAAGAATAGGGAGATAATAAAGTAGCAGGAGAAAGAGAGACAAAGATACACAGAGCGAGATAGAAAGTGGGAGAGAGAGGGGGGAGAGAGAGAGAGAGAGAGTGAGAGATATGCCCCTTTTCAGCAAAAGTTTCTTCTGGAGTAACCTGAAGGATGCTTCAGGCCTGGGACTGTCCCAGTCCTGGGTAGGGGGAAAAGGTGGAGGGTTCTCTATTGGCTTATGAATTGTTGCATAGTGGTCTTTATTCTGCAAATGTCATGTAGAAGACCTGGGGTCTTCTTGTTCAGTGGTCCCTGCTAAGTGACTGAAACAGAAACCTGAACTGGAATCCAGCCTTCCTTCCTGTTAGCACAAAGGCCCTGATTTGGGGCAGGGAGGCCAGGCAGTGTTTTCCAGAAGATAATCCTCTTTCCCATATGGAAGCCAGGTCCCGTAGATCTCAGCTGCTGAGCCAACGAAGCAGCTCAGCTTCCTCCTTCCTCCCCTCGCCCTCCACCCCCCCACTGCCAGGGACTTGCTATGTAGTCCTCACTGTCTTGGAGAGGGAGGAAAGGGAATGCAGTTGGGAGCAGCATATGGCAGGAATTAGAAATAAAAATGCTACATCCCAGCCAGGGGAAATGGCAGTAACTTCCAGATTATAAAATAAATGAGGTCCTCTCTACCTGGGTCAGCAAAAATCCCAACCATCACACCCAGGCCTGGCGGAGAAAATAACCAGAAACATCCCTGCAGAAATCTCTGAAATGCAGCAAAGACAAGCACCCTGGTGAACCACAGACAGTCTACCCACATGTGTCAGTGAGCACAGCTACAGAGAACAGATAGGAGAGCCCTGTGGCAAGCTGCAGCAGCAGGTAATGGCTTGTTGCCAGCTCTGAATCGTGGCTACAGGTCATCTGGTCCAAGAGAATGCATGGTGAGAAGGGGAGGAGAAGGGAACATCCAGGACAGGGGAAGAATAAAGTAAGCAATTGAAATATTTGTAAAATGTAGTGGGATGAATGTCTTCAAAGAGCTTTGTATTTCTCTGCACAATGTAAATACAATGTTGCTATCCTATATTACTATTTAAGGGTGATTAACCCTGCTACCTAATGCACATGTTCCAAATAAAGATTTTGCATGAATCTGCTGGTGTCTGTTACTTTTTGTTGAGGGTGGGAAAATTGAACCTGAATAATATTCAAAGGGAAAGTTACTATAGGCCAGCTAACTACAGGAGGGGGGTGTACTCCAGGATAGGGAAAGCTGACTGGCCCATCAACTGGAAAAAGCAAAATGAGGTAATTGGGGCCACCCTTGATGTGCATAGAGGATTGGATTCCAAGCAAGTTAATATCTTAAGTTGCATTCACCTCAGTTGTCCAGAAAAGGGTTAAGGTAGTGCAATGGACAGGGCACTGGACTTGGATTCGAGAAAAGACCTGAGCTGAAAGGTTGCCTCAGACATTTACTAGCTGTGTGACACTTGGAAAATCACTTAACTCCTCTGGGCCTCAGTTTCCTCACTTGTAAAATAGAGAGTTGACTCAATAACCTCACGGGTCCTAAAACTCTAAATCTATGACCTGTGAAAAAGACTCCTCTGGTGGTGAAACTTAGAATGGCATTGGCTTGCTTTTTAAAAAAAAAAAAGACAGTGTTTTTGTTTAAATCTTCATTTTGGAATTTAATCAATTGAAAGAGTATCTCCCACTTTGAAGGAGATGAAAAAGGTCAAGCACTCAGAGCTGACTGAAGTTCTTGCTTGCTCTGTGCCCTACGCTCAGATTGACTGCTGCCTCTTCTAGACTTATTGAGCCTACGGTTTAGTCAACAAGCTTCTCAGCTGTTTCCAAGTTTAAAAATCACTCATGGGTCTCCCTCTCCCTTGAGAGGAAGGAATTAGGATTATTTCTACCTCCAGTCAATTTGTCCAATGTCTGTTTTCTTCCTTCTTGCCTGGGGTTGTCTTGTGGTCATCAAAGCATGGGTCTGGGGAGGTTTTCCAGGTAGTCTGGGAGCTGGTCTGAAATTCTAGTCTCATAAAAAGAGACAGTCATGTGATGGAAATTATTAAATATATCACGAAATTGCAATTGCAGGTCTTAATCTATATTTTTAAAGTGCAAAAATGAATCCTTAGAAAAGGTAGTCACTCTTTCCACACCTCGCTCACCATGGTTATTGGCCTAAGGAAAAAGTGTGACAAAATAGTGATATTGTGAGATAATGGAAAAAAATACTGGACTAGGAGTCAGAAGACCGAGATCTGGGCCTGTCCCTCCACTAATTAGCTGTGTGACCCATGAGGAATCCCTTAACTTCTCTGGCCCCATCTCGTCCAATGAGAAAAGTTGGACTCCAATAAAGCTGGAATTAACCTTTGGCAATCATGAATGTATGATTCTTATTTCTTCATTTTGTGGGATCAGGAGTCAAAAACTATCTTGGTTCCTTGTCAAAATAGTTTATTGGCCAAAACCTTTGAAAACCATTGTGATGTGCTCCTAAGTGATATAATTTTCCTCCAGCTTTTTGGTTATTTCTCTCTCCTCTAGTATCTATGCTAGTTCTTCCCTTGTCCCCTTCTCTTTCTGTAGCCCAGCCAAGAGTCTGACAATATATTGAATTTCTTCAGCATTATTTTCCTTCCATCAGAATTGAGGTACTTAGATGTCTGTAAGCCTGGCAGACAACTGGAGACACTAACATACATTGACCTATAGAGATGGCAACTCAACTTCCTTAGAATGTGGTTCCGTAGGTTGTTGTTCTTAGCCATTCTAAACTAAAAGAACTTTGTCTCTTAACAGCTGAGTCTTTTCTATTAATATAGCACCTCTCCCCCAACATGCATCAACATGGATCAACACATATCAACATGGGCAATCTCTATGCATTTCATCAATCAATGAGTACTTATGAATAAGTACCAGCTTTGTGCCAGGCAATGTGTTTGGTACTGAGGTCCATGGAGGGCTTTTAGTGGAAAATGCTGTTTTACTATGAAGCAATCAACAATCTCTTATTAATTCACTTTTTTGTAGGCACTATGTTAGCTGCTGGGGACTCAGGGAAAGACATCAGAGTCCCAAGTCTTGATATCAGGAGAAGCACATATATAAGAACATGCAAGGTAGACTACATCTCTTCATCTTGTCTTCAAGAATACTGGGGGGGGGGGGGCTTCTGTAGCCTGGGATTATCTATTCCTCTTTTCTCTATTTATATGAATAATTGAGGGTTGAGTCAGTGGGAATATTACATAAAATCATAGAAAGATATACAAATAAAAAAGATAAACAAATTTGCAGAACAAATTTATTACTATCACCAAGAAGACAGCTGGAGATCTCTGCATTGGTGAACATTTTTCTTCCCGTTTCAAAAAAATGTAGGGTTGCTTATTATGTCAAGGAGAACAAAGCAGATGACTAATGGGGGTGGGGGAGCTGTGAAGAGGAGAAATTACTGTGCCAGCTTATTATTAGAAGACTGATGCATTTGACTTTTCACTTGAGTGTGGGACTCTTCTAAGAGTCTCTTCAGGCAGGAAATAGTGCTAAGAACTAGGTAGCAAGTCATTTGCTATTTTCTACATAGTAAAGCCCACAGTAAAATATAGCGTTTTACCCTATCCCACCAACTATAGGTCATAACCCTAGGTTCAAATCTAGCCTCAAATAGTTAGTAACTGTGTGACCCTGGACAAGTCCCTTAACCTGTTTGCCTCAGTTTCCTCATCTGTAAAATCAGGGAAATGGTAGCATCTACCTTCCAGGGTGGTTCTGAGGATCAAATGAGATAATAATTTTAAAGTGCTTAGCACAGTGCCTGCACATAGTTAAGTGCTACAAATGTTAGCTATTATTGTTATTAAAATGAGATCTCTCAGGAAACTACATGCAAACATACTATATATATTGAAAAGTAATTATGCAAAATTGCAATATCTTCTTATTTTTTAAATAAATTTTACATGCATTTATAATCTGCTCCTCCCACTTCCTCCTGCCACATTGAACAAAAAAAATAAATAAACAAAATTCTCATTAAAAAAAAAACTACATCATCTAGTAAAAAGTAATTCGCACATTGGCCAAGCCCGAATACGTTTCTTTCTCTGTATATTTTAAGTTAATTACTTCTATAGCAGGAAGTGGGTGTTGTGTTTTTCCTTCCGTCCTCTGGACTTATGGTTTATTACCACACTTCTCAGAGTTCTAAAGTTGTTCAAAGTGGTTTTTCCCAATGTGATTGTCATTTTATAAGCTGCCATTTCATAAAAGCTGTCATTTTATAAATTCTCTGGTTCTGCTTAACTTTCTGTGCATCGGTTCATGGAGATCTCCCCAGTTTCTTCTGAAACTGCCCATTTTGTCGTTTCACAGAGTAACAGTATTCCATTACATTCATCTTCTTTCACCCAAGCTGGTCCCATTGCCTGCAACACTCTCCCTCTTAAAATCCCTAGCTTCCTTCAGTGCACAGCTCAGATGGAACCACCTTTCCTCACCTCCTCAGTTCTCTTCCCCCTATCTCCACCCCCTCCAGACTACTTTGTATTTATTGTTATATTTTGTATGTATCTCTATCTAGGTCATTTCTCCCCAGTGCAGTGTAAGCCCCTTGAGTACAAGGACTGTTACATTTTGTCTTTGTATTTCCAGCTCAGTATGCCCCACACAGTAGTCATTCAAATACTTGTTGAATTGTACATTGTATGTTAAAATGTACATTGTATCCATTCACCAATGCCTCCATTTTTCAACTAGTACCAAATTGTTTTGGGAATTACTTCTTTATAGCATAGTGTAAGATCTGGCACTGCCAGGCTTTCTCTCATGTGCCCCCCGCCCCCTTAATTTCCCTTTGGATTTTTTATCTTTTTCTGCCTCTATGAGTTTTGTGATTATTTTCTTTCTAATTCTGTAAAGCAATTCTTTGGTAGTCTAATTGATATGACATTGAATAAGTAAATTAACTTGGTTATTATTGTAATTTTTAGGATATTGACTCATTCTACCCAGGAGCATTCAATATTTCTCTAATTATCTAGGTCTTTATTTCTGTAAAAAGTGATTTATAATTGTATTTATATAGTTCTTGTATGTAT